ACACACACACACACACACACACACACACACACACACACACACACACTGTATTTGTAAAAGAAAACATGCTGTGGTCAGCAGCCCTAATTTATTTATGTTTAAAAGAATGCTAACCCTGATTTATTTATGCTTTTAAAAATGCTAACTTGTACAAAGGGAATAATAAGTAATTCTAAGAAAATTAAGTCAGTGAGTTAAAAACTCTTAAACTTTTATCTCAATCAAATGGCCCAAGACTGTAATCCCAGTGACTCAGGAGGTTGAGGCAAGAGAATAATAAGCTTATGGCCAAGGAGGAGAAGTTTGGTGATATTCTGTGTCTAATAAAAAGTTTTAAAAGGCCTGGGCAGTGAGTTGCAAGACAGCCAGAGCTTTTACACAGAATCCCTGTCTTGAAAAACAAAGCAAACCAAAAAAAGCTGGACATGGTGATGTGAAAGAAATAAGAACCTGACCACTCCTAGGTACGGCTGAGGAGGTTTTTCTTGTAGATATGAGGGAGAGCACAGCCAGAGGCATCTGGAAGGTCCAGACTGAACCAGGCCATGAGATGGGGGCAGGGGCAGAGCAGAAGAGGAAGAGAGTGAGGGACAAGGGAGGGGACCTGGAGAGGGAGAAGAATCAAATGGCCAAGAGAATAAGGACCAAGAGGCCAAGAGAGCACTTGGCCAAATGACTGGGCTCTACAGGAATGAGAAGCTGGGAAAGGGAAGGGAAGCTCAGGGGCTGGAGACAGGGTAGAGAGCGGTGTGGGTGTGTGTGCATGTGCGTGTGTGTGTGTGTGTGTGTGTGTGTGTGTGTGTGTGTGTGTGTGAAGCTGAGAAGGAGCTAGGGTTCTGTAACAGGTACTTGCTATGCTGAGAGAGCCAGGTAGCCAGCTTTATGAATTACTGCGCAGAGAACCCCCGAGGGTATCCCAGGCGTGGGCAGGGAAACATGCTGGGCAGATGCACACCATGTGGGCATGGTGGTGGCAGCAGGGGACGGGGCAGCCATCACAGCCCAGACGCTGCATCCACGGCAGAGCTTATTATAATAGAGATGAAGAGAAAGATAGGGGAGGGAGGGAGGGAGAGAGAGGGGGAGAGAGAGGGGGAGAGAGAGAGAGAGAGAGAGAGAGAGAGAGAGAGAGAGAGAGAGAGAGAGAGAGAGCGCACCCCTCGTGGGAGGAAAGCGGAAGACAGAGAGAGGAAGGGGAGGAGTTTTTCCTTAGAATGAGGCTTTTATGTCAAGACGCAGGCGGCAGCAAGGGGTGGGATTTCAAGGGGCCATCAGCATATTAACTAACAGCCAGCATCTGCTTTGATCGTTAGTAGGCACCTCATTTGGTTATTTGTCCTGAGTTTCTTTGGGATCTAGCAGGTGTGTGCCTGTAATCCCAGCATTTAGTAGGTTGAGAGAGGATGATCATGGTCCCCTTGAAGGACGTAGCAAGTTAGAGATCAGTCTGGGCTACATGAAATTCTGGGTCAGAAAAATATGAAGGGCTGAGGATACAGCATAGTGGTCAAGCATTAACACTCACCCTTGTCTTAGTGAGGCCTTGTCTAAAAACAAAATCCAAAAAGAAAAAAGAAGTAATATTAGCAATAGGTTTGTATGGACAGGGTTTTACTCCTCTCCCCCGTTTTTTTATTTGTTTCCCCCTTTGCAGTATGGCGAACAGTGTTCCTCTAGTATGGTGGCTCGTGCCTGTAAGTCTAGCACTTGGGAGGCCACGGCAGGAGTGAGAGGCCAGTCTGGACTTCTACCGAGCACCAGGGAGGCCTGGGCAGTCTCAAGAAACAAAACAAGCAGCTGTGAGGAACTCCGGAGTCTGCAGCTTGACCTCCGCTTCGCCAGCGGCTTACAGGCAGCTGGAGTCGCTGTGCCTTTGTTCCGTGCGCCCAGGTCGGCTGTGTCGGAGCCTTGGGCCACCCTGCTCCGGTAGATGCCCTTGGTCCTCGAGTCCTCCTTGGGGCGTCAGGGAGGCGGCTTTGGGGCCTGGGCTTCCGCTGAGCGCTGGAGGAGGAGCAGCAGCGGAGGCACACGGTTCTCAGGGGGAATCCATCAGGCCTGGGAGATTGGGGTCGGGGGAGGAGACATGGACATCCTGGGAAGGTCAGGCGAGAGAAGGATACTTCCTGGAGATAGACCCTAGGAGGCAAGGTCTTGCATAATCAAATCCAGGTGTGGAAAGTACCTCTGAGAAGGGTAAGGTTGTCATTGTGCCAGCCAGCCAGCTACCTGGAACAGGAATAGGGCATTTCCACATCCCAATTCAAGGTCACCCGAGAGAGTCCACCGAGGAAGAGCAGGCTTGCACACACAAAGGCGTAGTACCTGGAGTGGGCTTATACTTCCGGGTGGGCAGAAAAAGATGACGGAGTTACTCCTCAAGGAAGCATCAGAGTGAATGGAATCTCCACTCTGTGTCCTTCACTTGCCCTGCTGAGAGGTCCCCCAAAGGCAGCAGCCTAGTGCTCTGAAAATCAGCCTGCTTCTAGAGGAGCCAAGCCCAGCCTGCCCAGACAGCGCAGCAGTAAATAGGTTACATTCCTTGGAAGGGACAGGAATAAGGCCCGGTTACCAGTGCCTGCTGCTGTACAACACTGTTCTCTTAGCATAACAGCCATTGCCAGCTTGTTTATTTATTTAGTTAGGTTTTTTTTTTTTTTTTCTCTGAAGCAGGGTTTGTTTCTCTGTGTAGCCCTGGCTGTCCTGGAACTCTCTCTGTAGACCAGGCTGGTCTCTGACTCACAGAGAGCCACCTGCTTCTGCCTCTCAAATGCTGGGACTAAAGGTATGCACCACCATGCCTGCCTGGACCACTTTTTTTTTCCCCCAGATACAATTTCTCTGTGCAGCTTTTGCTATCCTGGAACTTGCTCTGTACACCAGGCTGCCCTCAAACTCACAGAGCTCTGCCTGCCTCTGGCACCTGAGTGCTGGGATTAAAGATGTGTGGTGCCATCCCTCGGCTAAAGAACTACTTTTATCAGTTTGTATGGGCACATGAGTGCAGGTGGCCACAGGGGCGGGATGAGTTGGATCCCCCAGGAGCTGGTATTACAGGACGTTGTTACTGAGAATCAAATGCCGGGCCTCTGGCAGAGCAGTACACACTCTTAACGGCTGACTCACCCCTGCAGCCCCCATGTGTCTGGTTTTTGAGACAGGGTCTCACTTCATAATATTGGCTGGCTTGGAACTCACCAGGTGGACCAGGCTGGCCTTGAATTCATCGAGATCCACCTGCCTCTGCCTCCCAAGAGCTAGGAGTAAAGGCGTGCGCCACCATGCCCGACACTATTGCCACCTAGATCACAGCAGCTATGACAGTTCCCCCAGAGACCCTCAAGCTTGTGCCTATGATACTCCCTCCCTGAAAGAGTGGGTGCAGAGGGTGATCAGCCCTTACCTGAGATCTCAGCCTCTCCCTCCAGCACCTTCCTGTCAGCTGCTTTGTTTGGTTGGTTTTTGGTTTTTCAAGACAGGGTTTCTCTGTGAACCCCTCCCTGGCTGTCCTGGAACTCACTCTGTAGACCAGGCTGGCCTCAAACTCAGAGATCTGCCCGCCTCGGCCTCCCGAGTGCTGGGGTTACACATGTGCATCACCGCCGCCTGACATCTGTCAGCTGTTGATAATTCTGACTCAGCTGCATTGGTCTCCTTGTCTCAGAAGGTAGAATGTGTGGACTAGAAGGTTAACAAGGGGAGGCACTTCACCTGTGCGGCTGGGAAGTCGGCATCAATGCTGGGGTGGGGGGTATTTCTATAATGAAGCTGTTTTGGGGTCACACCAGATTGGACTGTGGTAGAATTGTTACTTCAGCCTGTCAATGGTGCCTCCTTAGGGCAAGTAAACTTTGTTTTTGTCTCTCAGGAAAGTTCCCACAACAATGTCCTCCCAACACACTGTAGTGTGACTTGGGTCCATGAATAAGGAGAGGAGAGGAGGGCAGAGTCCATGCGGCAGGCAGTAGACAGGTACGTGCTGCCATGTCTTCCTTCCCTGCTTGTTTTTGTTCTTAGGCTCAACTGAGGCATGGCATGTGTACGCACACACATGTTCAGGCACATGTGGAGGCCTGCCTGAGGTCAGTCTTGGGTACCGTTCCTCAGGTGCCATCCACGTATGTTTGATTGTTGTTTTTCTTTTCTGTGGGTTTTTTCCAGACAGGGTTTCTTCTGTATTATCCCTGGCTGTCCTGGAACTCACTCTGTAGACCAGGCTGGCCTCAAACTCAGAGATCCACCTTCTGTGCCTCCCAAGTGGTCCCATCTTATTTTTTTTTAATTTACATTTATTTATTTTGTATGTGTAGACATGTGGAAGTCAGAAGACAATTTGTAGGAGTCAGTTCTTCTCTTCTATTACATGGGTCCCAGAAACTGAACTCGGGTCATAAATGTGTTAGCAGTTGCTGTTACCCACTGAGCCATATTGCCCGCCCTCCTTGTTTTTGAGACAGGTCTCTCACTGGGATCTGAAGCTTGCTGATCAGGCTAAGCTGGCTGGTCATTAAGGCCCAGGCACCCACCAGTCTCTACCTTCCCCTTGCTGAGATCACAGCGGGCACCCAGTGTCTGGCCATTTACTTTTGACGCGGTTTTGAGGCTTGAAC